TTTTCTTTTTTTGGCAGGGATTGGATCCACTTTGGAATGGAAGAATGAAATCACCCGAACTTATCTCTTTATAGCATCATTTGGTCCATATTTTTTGTTCTATTTTTCGGTCGGTCTAGCATAACTCTTTTAAAAAAGTTCCAAAGCTGTCCTCGTGAGCTAATTGCCACCTAAATACACTGTGCAAGCAAAGACTAACACCTCTCCAGATAAATCAACAAAAAAAAGTCTTTCTAGATAGTATTTGAGCACAAAATGACGAATAGTCTCATGTGATTAGGTAATTAGTATGAATTATGACCAAGGCCAAGACAAAATTAATCTGATAATTAATTTTTTTTTTACACCAGTCAGACATTACATCAAGAACCTGTATAATGATATTGAAATAGCAGTAATTATCCATCCAAGTACAACTTAGAAATTCAGATGTATGGAGATCGAAAAGTTAATGCACAAGGTTCCAAAATAACCAAAAGAAAAAACATAAAAATAAAAAACAGAGCATACTAAATAGTGAAGGGGAGTAACATAAGACAACAATGTGAAGGAAAAACAAAAACTAGATCTCCTTTCTCATGTAACTTTCATACTATCCAAGCCAACACTAGCCTGCACCTAAAAAAACATGGGTGAGACCTAAAAAAGGTAGATTTATATCGTACACAGTCGATTGCATGTTGGATGTTATCCCATTTATTAAANAAATAGTGAAGGGGAGTAACATAAGACAACAATGTGAAGGAAAAACAAAAACTAGATCTCCTTTCTCATGTAACTTTCATACTATCCAAGCCAACACTAGCCTGCACCTAAGAAAACATGGGTGAGACCTAAAAAAGGTAGATTTATATCGTACACAGTCGGTTGTATGTTGGATGTTATCCCATTTATTAAAAAGTCTGTCAAAAGACGCTGATTTTAATCCAAACCCATTGAAAATAAACTCATCCCCAATATCTTCATATCGATTTTGTGTCGGATTTAGGTCTGCTGTTGGGAATTCTCAATGTTAAAGAGACATGGTTATTTGTCTTTCACTAAAATCACATCCTTGTATAACAAGTGGCTATACACTCTCATTACAAGATTATTGAGTCTCTCCNTAAAAAGTCTGTCAAAAGACGCTGATTTTAATCCAAACCCATTGAAAATAAACTCATCCCCAATATCTTCATATCGATTTTGTGTCGGATTTAGGTCTGCTGTTGGGAATTCTCAATGTTAAAGAGACATTGTTATTTGTCTTTCACTAAAATCACATCCTTGTATAACAAGTGGCTATACACTCTCATTACAAGATTATTGAGTCTCTCCCTTGCCCTGCTTCTATATTTTTCCTCAAACTTACACCCCCAATAGTTTAAAACCCAATATTATAAAAGACTTTTGGAATTCTAAGCAAAAAAGTCCATAGCTTGAAGAGTATCTTACCAGAAACTTGTGGATCGATTGAAGAAGTGGTGAAAAGTTGGTGCAGAATTTTTCCATATCACCGTAGACATCCCCCGTGCTCCATATCACCTCCATGAACTTCTTCCTATCCGGAACAAGCTTGATACCAACCTGTAAATTGCATGAAATATAAAGTCACAGTTCTTAAATAACAACTAATGTTTTCAGGTTTAAAGGGTACACATACACCTTTACAGGGGATGGTTGATTACACATCAGTTCATAACACTGAGTTTTTTGGCACGATGAAAAGGTGACTCTATACTGTTAGAATATTTGTTGTAAATGGAAAAAAAAAATAGGGGGAAATCCTGTAAATATTCAGCAATCGAAATCACTAAGCTCTAAGAAATGCCGTGAGTGAGAATTCAAGTTTAAACACAGTATTTGGGTAAATAAGTTCCACTTCTTGATTCAGAAGTTAAACTAGACATGATAGCAGTTCCAAGTTCAGATTACCACTGAAGCCTGATGAATTATAGAACAATTTGTCGTTTGATTAAGAAAGAAATCATCAAAGACATTACAGTAAAACTTGAAGTAGCGAGCCACCCATGCCATTTCTTCAAAGTCTTGCCATAAGAATCTGTACAAGCATGTGCCATTGACCAATCTTGATTCTGGGCTAAGTTACGAAACAGCTCCACTAGGAAATCCATTGCCCTGCAGAATTATGAATAAGGCATCATATATCTAAATTTAATACCGGAAAAAACTTATCCACAGGGTAACCAACCAGCATTGCTCAATTGGCTCAAAGTTCAGTTTTACAAAGGCCAAGACAGTTTAATTGACAGTCCAAATGCATAACGATGAAATTAAACGGCTCTCCTAGTGAGATCACAGCTCTGCAATACAAAAATAATTGGCAGACACCTTTCTGTAATAGAGGTTGGCCAAGCACATATTCCAAACTTCCTGTAAGCTGCATTCAGGTCGGGTTGAACTTACAAAAAGCTGGTGCCAAGAGTGAGTTCATTCAAATTGGACATGATCTGGGTACAAGTAGTTCCGATCTGGTTGGCAATCTCATGCTGCTCCTCCAATGGGAGCATCTCGTAACTGCAAAAAAGTCGAAACAATCATTAAAGATATTGCATTGATTATTTGAGATCAGTTTTGAAGTTCAAACCATTGTGTAGCATTCTAAACTTTCATACAAGTATGCATGTGTGTATATATATGCTATTTTTTCACTTTCCTATTTGGCCATTCTGTTATTTGTTTATCTATCTAGTTTTGGAGTGCATTTGTGCATGCCCAAGTGGCTGTGGTAGTGAGTGAAAAAACTTATTTGCATTGGCAAGTAACTCGGACATCAGAGATTTCTGGAAGAGAAAACAAAATACTTACTGGCAAAGCAGCTCACAGTCGACTATACTGTCGGGGCCAGACCGATGAGCCCTTCCATTTGCACGGAATTGCCGGAAAGATCTTGGATTTAGCCCAGCAACATGGGGAACACCATCAACAAGCTTTTTCTGCAGAGACTGAAGTCTACGAAATGTGAGTTCATCAAGAGGTGCAATACAACCAATGCTGCCATCCAGGGTGCCAAACAGAAGAGCAAATCGATTAGTCTTATCAGAGCCTGGAGCACTATTGGTTCGATCTGATGATGCAGGAAGCATCTGCAACCGCAAGAACTTGGTCACGTGGGCACCAATATGAAACTCTGCCCTAGATGGCAGCTTCTGCCCTTTCCAACTCTCTGACATCTTTGGAGCATAATAAAATATCTGTGTTTTGCATGCACAATATTCAAACATTAGGCAAACAGTTGAGAAGAGGAGTTCTCACATTGCAAAGGATTAATAGCTCCACATTCAGGCTACTAAAGTCAGTCATAAGTGCAAACACTTCATATCCATGACATAATAGGGCCATGGTATTGACCAGAACAAAGTTTCAATCTATGGTATGTCACGATATCTACGAAAATCGAAAAATATTTCAAATCGGGCAATGATCTGTACAACGTAGGCATGACAGCCATTACTGTCACCATTTACCAGGTAGACATGATTTAATGTTATTATATGATTTAGAATTCGAAATTCAAGCCATTTAACTCTTACGCCGACTACATCTGAGATCCGGTCAATGCAACATCTTCATTTGTTGAATGCTCATTTTTAGCATTTTTTTATACAAATTTATATTTAAAAATTCAATAATGTGTGTCATGTGCACGTGAACACTATTTGTGGTCCGCAAACTCGTGCATGCTGGCATAAACATGGACAGAGCCAGTGACATGTTTATTAGCCTTGATGTATCTCTCACCATTGAATAAAAACAGTGAAGCCAAGTGGCAAGGTACTAGCCTTGACCACTGCACAGTGCACACTACCACATGTGGCTTTCAATCAATAAGAGAATGTGAAGGAAAAAGATGTTCAAGATTTTTATATTAACTCGACAAAAAAATAAAAAGTACGTTGAAAGAATTCTTACCAAAAAAATTGCTGAAAAATAAACAGATATTTTTAACCATAACTTCCCATTATTTTGCATTTCCTAATGCCTTTGGATATAGTAAATTCTTTGGGAAGATGTGTAAGTAGGAAAACCGTGTACATAAGAAAGACGCCAACCTGAACATTTTTTTGATCATCTGGAACCAGCAGACTGAGCGTGCTTCCGTCAATTAAAAACTCGGTCGCTAAACAATCAAGTGACCCAAAATCCTTGGCCAATAAACTAAGTTGAGCTCCCTGTTCCTTCCAACTAAGAAAATATATGCTTTTGTGAATATCCCCAAGAAGAATGAAATTCTTAACCTGCAACATTAAATGGCATTAACAAGGAGCAAAATTTGTACATGCATAAGCCATCTCAATTGATTGTTCGTACCGCATATATTACAAAAGCTAACATAAAAACCTGTCGAGTCAGTAATGGCCTTGCTATACAAGCATATGTAGAGTTTAGTTAGGGTAGAGAGAAAAAATAAACCATACAAGCATATTAGAGATCATCAACCCCCAAACCGGTCAGATGTAGAGTTTAGTTAGGGTAGAGAGAAAAAATAAACCATACTA